ACACTTGGCCAGGTAAGGAGGTGTCACTGGTCACCAGCTGTGCAGGGTCATTGTGCAGTAGAGTAGAACTCAGCAGATCTGGGGTGTCCAAACTGCACATTACAAAGAATGGATTGGCCCTTGGATGGCAAGCCCTTGGAATATCCTGCCTGATAAGAGTCTTTCCTTACTGGGAGCCTTAGGCTACGTCTGTGATTTATGATGGGGACCTTGAGTCACACTGTACCAGGCTGATCTCTGAGACAGCTTGAGGCTCAGTAACTAAGGCCAGTCATGCAGGCATTCTGCATGTATGTGGTCACCCCCGGTAAATATCAGCAGGCTTGGGTGACCTTCCCTGGCTGCCAGTACTCCATGTGTATTGTCACTCTTAGCAGGAAGTATGGAGCAGTCTGTGTGACTGCACTGGGACAGGACAAATGGCAGCTTGTACCTGGTGTCTCCTGAATTTGTTTGTGTACTTTCTACCTTTGTGATTATAATCTTATCCTTTTCACTATAATAAACAGTATCTCTACCTTTTCTGACTTCTAGGAGTCCTTGTGAGTCACTGAACCTGCAGGTGGTCTTGAGGACTCCCTTGCAGTCGTTTTGCATTTGGTGTCTTGCTGGTTCACTCACTCATTCCCTGTGGATTTGGGCCCTGCCATGTGACAGGGGATAGGTCTATAGAGGCATGAGACAGGGATGTATGCTAAAGGGGCTCTAGGTCCAGGGTGGGCTCTGAATGAGGACACGGACAATGACAACACAAGGTCCGTGCCACCATGGGGAGCACAAGGGGATTCAGCCAGTGAGGAGGTGCCCTGGAGCTGATACCGAGGACAGGAGACCAAAACAAGCTGGGATTGGACAACAAAGGCTGCCTGTGGGATGGCTGGAAATGAACCTGGAAAGATGGGCTTTGGTGATTGAGTGCAGGGGCTTCAAGGCCAGACTGCACTCTGATGGCCACAGAGAATCCAAGTGAAGCTGTGCAGAGAAGTGAAAGACCACACCTGTGCTGGAACAAAGGAACGGCTCCAGGAGGCATGTGACCAATGTCTGGACTGAGCAATGGCTGCCCAGCTCCTATTTTTGCCTTTGCCTCAAGTCAGCCAGATGAGGACTTGACCTGCTTTTTCAGGTGCGACCCAATCACCCCGCCATCTCACATTCTTGAGGGAACATTAAATTCTAGAGCTGCCTCCTTACAGTAAATACCCCTGGCATATACTGAAAGGGATGGGGGAACTGTTTGCCACTCTGTCCTTATCTGCTAACTCCCATGTTTTCATCCTGAAAAATGAGTGGCTTTTAGCTGGTGGCCTCAGGCAAGTGGTTTAACTTCTCAAAATCTCAGCTCCTTTTCTATGAAGTGGGGATAACAATATCTGCACCCCATGGCTGCTGAGAAGATGAAATGGAGTGATGTATGTAAAGTGCTTGTGTGTAAAGTGTATAAAGTGTTAAAGTCTTACACGAATGTCACTGTCTTGACTGATTTTAATGAAGTCTGTGCTGAAGCCGATGAATGACACACAAAGTCTTTTTAAAGGTCTGGGCTTTGTGACACATCACACATTTCAGCATTATTAACCTTACTTTTTGGCAGAGGAACAAAACAAAACCAAAAAAACAAAAAACAAAAATAACAAAACAACCCCAAACCAAACCACATGATCTAAAACCATATGGCCTGAGTTAATACAAGGCACAAACAACTGATAAAAGCATCTTTTAAGTTTTTTGTTTTTAAATTTCATTTTTCCCCCGAGGTAAAAACCAAAATGAGCTCTGTTCCAGGCCTGCTGAGAAGACCATCCATACCTGTGGATCTCTCCTACCACCTGGTGGATATCTGTGGAACCCGGAGCATGGAGAATGGGAGGGGCTGTTGTTCCTCTTGAAGGCTCACTCCGCTTTCTCACCCAACCGTGTGACCCTGCAGAGAGAAGTGTATATGATGTGCAAGGGGGCTGCTCTGCACAGTTCCTGCCACTCACAGGGCCCCCTGCTGGATGAAGAACAACACACCAAGGACAGACAGAAGGTCTCTACCCCATCTGGCACATCCCCAGTTCACTGATGGATGAGAACCAAACAGTTGCCAAGGGTTTTTTGATAGTTGCTGCACTCACATGGCATCCCCTGGGAATGAATTCTCCAATGCTGGGCCAGGGATCTGCTCTAGCTGAAGGCTTTCCCACATTTGTCACACTCAAAGGGCTCCTGTCTGGCATGAATCCTCTGATGCAGAACAAGGGCCGCAGCCTCACGGGAGGTTTTCTGACACAGGCTGCATATGAAGGGCTTGGCACCCGCGTGGACGCGCTGGTGCTGCGGCTGAAGGCTTTGCTGCATGCATGGCACCCATAGGGCTGTTCCCCCCGTGTGCACCCGGTAGTGCTCAGTGAGGTGTGACATCTGGATGTAAGCCTTGCCACACTCGTTGCACTTGTTGGGCTTCTCCCCGGTGTGTGTCCTGAGGTGGAGGGTGAGGGAGAAGCTCTGCACAAAGGCCCTTCCACAGTCTCCACAAACAAAAGGCTTCTCCCCAGTGTGGATCCTCTTATGCTGAGTGAGGAACGTGCTCTGGATGAAAGTCCTCCTGCATTTTCCACACGTGTAGGGCCGCTCACCCGTGTGCACCCGTTGCTGCAGGACCAGGGCTGAAGAATTGCCGAAGGGTTTCCTGTACTCACCGCATGTAAACGGTTTCTCATCACTATGGATCTTGAGGTGCTGGGTCAAGTAGGAGCTCTGGCTGAAGGTCTTCCCACATTCTCCACACGTGTAGGGCCGCTTGCTGGTGTGCACTCGCTGGTGCTTGGCCAGGGAGGAACTCTGGCTGAAGGCGTGGCCACAGGCATTGCATGCATATGGCTTCTCACCCGTGTGTGTCCTCAGGTGCTTGCTGAGGGACTAGCTCTGGCTGAAGGCTTTCCCACATTCCTGGCACGTGTATGGCTTCTCTCCTGTGTGGCAGCGCTCGTGCTCGGTCAGGGATGAGCGGAGGCTGAACACCTTGCAGCATGTGTGACACTCATATGGCTGCTCTCTTGCGTGGGTTCTGTGGTGGACCAGGAGGGTCGAGGAGTTGGTGAAGGCTCTGCCACACTCATGACAGGTGAACAGCTTCTCCCTAGTGTGGACTCGCTGGTGCTGCACGAGGTGAGTGCTCTGGCTGAAGGCATGCCTGCACTCGCCACAGGTATATGCTTCTTGCCTGTGTGCACCTGCTGGTTCTTGGCCAGGGACGAGTTCTCTCAGAAGCACTTGCTGCAGTAGCCACACGCATAGGGCTTTTCACCTGTGTGGATGCACAGTGCTTACGAGGCACGAGTTCTTGCTGAAGGCCTGTCCACATTGCCAGCATGTGTACAGCTTCTTGCCAGTGTGGGTTCTCTGGTGCTGAATGACATGTGTGTCTGTCCAAAGGCCTTCCCACACTCCTTGCATGTGTAGGGCTTCCATTTAGTGGGAACCCACTGATAGCCCGCAAGGAATGCATTCTTGCTAAAGCCATCTTTGGACCCACCACACACCAATGTATCCTCCTCAGTGTGAACTCCTCGTGGGCGACTAAGGTCTGGAAAAGAGCTGAGGGCTTCCATACACTTACAGTCTCCTTGGCAGGGCACCCCCGATCTAGGACTGAAACACAGGTGAGGCCCTTCTGCCAACCTGGCTTGTGAGACCTTGCACCCCTGGGGATTGCCCTGATGCTCAACAAGGAATGGGCGCCAGAAGAAAGTTCCTTCAAGGTTCCACTCTGGGCTCTTCTTCCACCGGCTGCGTGTCACTGCTCGGCAGTATCTGTCACCTGGCCTTCATGCTCTGTGACTTCTCTCACGATGGTGTGCCAGAAATCCTGCCTTGTGAGTCCCATTGTCATCTGCCCCCGAAGCAGAGCACCTTTGTCTAGAGGTAGCCATGCAGCTCGGGGCCCAGGCTTTGAGCCTGAAAAATAAGCAAAGAAGTATGCTCGGGATCCAACCTGAACATGCACGGCCAATCGGGAAGATGGACAGAACCGCAGCAGTCAGACTGGACAGTGCAGATATGTGGCTTTCAGCAGGGCTCTTGCAGTTGAGGACAGAAGAGTGAATGGATCAGGGTCTGGAAGACCACCCACAGGCTTGGTGATTCCTCAACACAGTTCTCAGCACAGAGTCATACTCACGGCCGTGACTGGTTAGAGCAAAAGGACACCAGGCAAAATCAACAAAGGGAAAAGGTGCAGGGGCAGGGTCCTCTCCCAGTGGAGCCACACAGCATGCACCTAACCCCTCCAGCTCTGGATTCTGACACTGAAGTGTTGTCTACAGTTTGTCAGAGGCTCAGAGCTTAGGGTTTTACTAGGGGCTGGCCATGCAGGCACTGGCTGTGTAGCATGTACCAAAATCCCAGGCTCCCAGGAAGAAAGTAGGCATTCAGTGTAAATCATGTTGTTTGTACAAATGGCTTGGGTGCAGTGAGCCATTCTTATCATTTAGGGAATGGGGGGGTCCTACCATAATCCAAGTTGCCAGACACCAGCCAAAGGCCAACCCTGTGCTAGGCCTCTCTGAGAATGGTGGCCTCATGCCTGCTGTCAACTCTCTTCTGCCCAGTAGGGAGGAAAAGTGGTAGAACGGAGCACAGAAAGTCATGGGCCAAGGCCACCGAGAGCTGCCTCCCCTGTCAGCTGCCACTATTTTACAACCACGCCCTCACTAGAACAGGGCCTGGTCAACAGAATGGAAAACAGAAACCTGCACGTGAATGCTCATAGAGAAGTATTCTTTTTTTTTTTTTTTTTTTATGTTTTTTTATTTCTGAAGGGGAGAGAGACAGAGCATGAGCGGGGGTGGGGCAGGGAGAGAGGGAGACACAGAATCTGAAGCAGGCTCCAGGCTCCAAGCTATCAGCACAGAGCCTGACATTGGGTTCAAACTCACAAGCTGTGAGATCATGACCTGAGCCGAAATTGGATGCTTAACCAGTTGAGCCACCCAGTTGCCCCTCATAGAGAACTGTTCTTAAGGGTTAGAAGCCAGATACAGAAAGGCCACACATAGTAGCACATGTATCTTTGCGAAAAATAAGTGAATTTATATGTATCTAGATGAATATATTTATATAAACTTCACTTATATGAAAAGTTCAGAAGATGCAAATCACAGAGACAGAAGACAGATTAGTGGCTGTCAGATGCTGGGGGAAGTGAACGAAGAGACTGTTAAATGACTGTCGGGTTTGTTTTCAGGCTCCTGCACCTACTAGCTCTTTTCTGTTGGATATACACTGCACCTCCTTGCCCCAGGAGGAGAAATAAACTGATCTGAAGCATGGTAACTGTAGCTATAACACTGTACTATATACTAGAAATTTCCTAAGACAGTTAGTTGACTGTAAGCATTCCCACCACAGAAAAAATCATCGCAACTATGTGAGGAGATGGATATATCTATTATTTGGATTGTGGTAATCATTTCACAATGTATATCAAAACACCATGTTCTACACTTTAAATATACACAATTTTTAACTGTCAATTATACGTCAAAGCTAGGGGGAGAAATTAATTAAAAAAAACTGACCTGATAGACCTTTACTTCACTCACCTGGACCTCTCAGAACATCTGTCTCCATAGTCCAGGGGTCTTCCCACTGTTCCAGCTTGGAGATCACATCTGGTTTGCAGCCGGGGAGTCCTGCCCATAGTTAGAAAGTAGAAGGGAAATGTTGATGCTGTTGTCACAAGCCAGCCAGGACCCAACAGGCCCAGTAATGCAGTGTGTGTGCCTCAGGCACAGTAGAGGTCTCTCCCTGGTGATGTGGGATAGGGTGTCCACTCTGCACAGAAGGGACCCAACTGGGGGACACAGGTCAGAGCAAGGACCTATCTGGGTGTGGGTTACTGGGGACAAGGCAGGGGATAAATACACCCATGTAGTGAACACATGTGGAAACAGACATGTGACGTGGATGAAGAAGAGACAGGGAAACCTCACCCAGGGACCCAAGTTGCTGTAGTTCCTCAGCATCACATCATGGTACAGGATCCTCTGTGTGGGGCCCAGAAGCCCCCATTCCTCCCATGTGAAGTCCACCACCACATCCCTAAATGTCACTGGCTTCTGAAACATCCCACATGCAGTGGCTCAGCTGTGGGTCCTGTCTGGCCAGAGCCAGCCCCATAAGGAACAGCAGAATGTGAATGTTCTGGGAAACATCCTATGGTCGTGGTTGGAGGGGTGGTTCATTCTGTGAGTGGCACTATTATCACCTTGACACTGGGTGCCATGGTCCTACCTGAATAGTTGTGTCTTCTCTGTTAAAGTTTTACCCCTCAGTGCAAAGGCATTTGGAAGTAGGGTCTTTGGCGGGGATTAGGTTTAGATGAGGTCATGAGGATGAGGACCCAGGATGGGACTAGTGCCCTCATAAGAAGAGGGAAAACCCGAAGCGTGCATGTTCTCACCTTGCTTTCTACCCAGTGTGTGAGGACACAGAGAGAAGGCAGCTTGTCTGCAAGCCAGGAAGAGAGCTCTCAGCAGAACCCAGGCCTGCTGGCACCCTCATCTTGGACTTCTAGTCTTCAAAACTGTGAGAACCAACTTTGTCGATTAAGCCACAGAGTTCATGGTATTTTGTTATAGGAGTCTAAACAGATTAAAGCACAATGATTTTGGGTGCCTGGGTGGCTCAGTCGATTGAGCATCCGACTCTTGGTTTTGGTCTGGTCACGATCCACGGTTCATAGGTTTGAGCCTCACATTGGGCTCCAAGCTGACAGTGCAGGGCCTGCTTGGGATTCTCTCTCTTTCCCTCTCTCTCTGCCCCTCCCCTGCTCTCACACACACACACTCTCAAGATAAATAAATACAGGGGCACCTGGGTGGCGCAGTCGGTTAAGCGTCCGACTTCAGCCAGGTCACGATCTCGCGGTCCGGGAGTTCGAGCCCCGCGTCAGGCTCTGGGCTGATGGCTCAGAGCCTGGAGCCTGTTTCTGATTCTGTGTCTCCCTCTCTCTCTGCCCCTCCCCCGTTCATGCTCTGTCTCTCTCTGTCCCAAAAATAAAATAAAAACGTGGAAAAAAAATTAAAAAAAAAAGATAAATAAATACAACGTTAAAAAAAAAAGAATTGAACTTAAAAAAAAAAAAAGACACAGTGATTCTTCATCACTTCCCAAAACACTCAGCTTTGTGGCCACCAGAGGGACAGCTGGATGGCCCTTACCAGCCCCCCACAAAGCCATCTATCACACCTGCATGGTCTGCATCCCCTTTAAGGTTGGGCAGGGGAGGCTTGGAGGATGGGATGGCATCTGATACCAGCCACATGTGCTCTGAGGCCATTAAGTGTCCCCAACCTGAATTTTACTGCTCCACAGCGGCACTCCTAGCTTGTGGCAATAATCCCTCTGCCTTGTGTGTGGCTGTCTTCTTGGGGACCCCGTTAAAAAAAAGGGCCTGTCAGGAGGCAGCAATTTCAGAGCAACTACTTACCACCCAAAACCTATCTAGACACTGCTCATGCCACCATTCATTCATTTGCCTGTTAATATCTTCCAGGTATCTGTACATGCCAGGCTCTGCTCTGTCCCTTTCCTGGATCCTGGATAAACAGTGTGACCATAAACAGCCTGTGTCCCAGATCTTCCCAGGCATGGGACTTCCTCCAAGGTGCCTTAGATTGACAGGGTCATTAAGCGCCACCCTGGAGTGAAGACAGAAGGAAAACAGGAGGAATGGCCAGGGCAGAGGAAGGCACCCTGTCCCAGAACTCATGCTCCTTGGGGGTTGCGGCTCTAGTCCGGTGCTGAGGAGTAGAAGTATCACAGAAGCAAGGGCAGAAAGGAGTATGCCTGCTGGGACTGCTGGCATTATGGGAAACTCATGTGGAAGGCATCTGCTGGGAATGCAGCATCTTGGGCCTTGGGCTTGTCCTCCTTGACACTCCCCTGAAAAGGAAGAACTGGGGGAGGGCAGGGGATATGAGAGAGGCCAGATCTGCCCTCAGGTCCCAGAGACCCAAGCCCCAAAGCCCTCTCACCTCACATCCCTCCCCTCACGGGCCACTAGCCTCTCTCCCAGGGGCTCCAGCCCTCCCAGTCCAGACCCTCCCACAAGTGTTGCTCCTGCTTACCTTCTAGGGCTTGGCAGAACCAGAGCCCCTAACATATGGCAGGCATGCTGTGGGCCCCTTACATCAGCTTGCTTGATCCTCACTCTGTTCCTGAGAGTGATGGCTAGGATCAACACTACCAGACCCATCTTACACTAAGGAAACTAGGCATCAAGGGGGAAGACACTTGCTTGGATTGAGCTTCTGCGGGGAAGCACCCCCACATGTCCCCACCCATGACCAACCAAGATAATGAGTCCTGTGGAGAAGGCTGTATCCACGTGGACCCACACCCCCCAGAATTAGTCTGAGGATGTGGCAGCCCACCTGGGCTCTGGTGAAGGGGTCTATATAGCTGCCATGGACCCATAGTGATCCAGAGGATGAAAAATACTTGGAGTAGGAAGCCCAGAAACTGCAGTTCCACCATGTGCCACTAACTGGCCACATCCCTGCTCTGGACCTATTTCTTCTTGGGTACAAAAAGGACAGGAGGATGGATGGCATTAAGTCTCAGAAAGCCTTTGTGAAATATAACATAACATAGGAACACCTCATGGTGCCCCTGCTGCCAGAAGCCACACCACCTTTACACCCTCCATCCTGTCCTGGCTCCCAGGCTGGGCAGGGGGTCACTGAGCTCAGGCCTCCACAGAAAGTGGCCCTCTGATTCAATGCTTGGAAGTTGGGCCTCAGACCCCTGCCTCTAAAACAGAAACTACCCATGAGCCTAGGCTGAGTCCCTATGGGCAGCTGTGGCTCCACACCACGCCCAGGCTGCAAACTTCTCAAGGGGTTATTGTCCAATGCTGGCCAAGTTCCCTAACATGAGGAAAAAGAGGTACTATCATCACCCTCTTATACAAGTGGGGAAAGGTGGCCACAGAGAGATTAAATCAAAGGTGTGAAGCAAGTGATAGGTGAGGATGTGAACTCAGGTAGGCAGTCAGACTTGAGTCTATGCTCTCAAAAAGATACACTGTTAATAGAGGTATGAGTGCTCAGCTCAATCAGTTTTGACCAATGTACACATCTGTGTAGCAACCATCCAGACTAAGCTCTAGAACTTTCTGAGGATGGAAATGTCCTGAAGCTGCGCTGTCCAATTCAGCAGCCATATGCCCCATGTGGCTCCTGAACAGCAAAAAACACAGGTGGTGTGACTGAGAAACTGGATGTGTAATTTGAAGTCTAACTGATTCACGTTTTAATATCTACATGTGGCTGTTAGCTACCATTTTGGACAGCTCAGCACTAGGACTTTTCAGAACCACGGACAGCTCCCACCAGGCACACTTTCCAGGCAAAGCCCTACCCAGCCCCAGGGTGATTGCTGCTGGGATTTCTGACGGCACGCATGAGCTGTGCCTATTCTTGAACTTTATACAAAGTAAATCGTATGCTGTGTAATAGTCTGAGGATTCAGCCCCATGCTATCAGTTTTATGGACATCACTGGTAGCAGACACCTGTCAGGATGCCTCTACAGAGACTGTTTGGGGACAAAGTGAGATACCAAGTACGCAAGTGCTCAGAACAGGGGAAAAGCGATAGTCCCAGCTGTCTTGAATTCAGTTCCTGACAGACTCCCAGTAGGGAAGGGCTGATGTGAGGCCTTTTGCCCCTCCGCACAGGGGTCAAAGTGGAGAACTGATCTCTGGGGCCCTGATGCACCCAGTGCCCATACCTTCCTCCCAGTGTCATTCCTAGACTGGAGACAGTGAGTGTGAGGGATAAGTGGAGTCTGTCAGACCTAGAATCAAATCCACCTTATCACTCTCTGCTGGGTGACCTTGGGTTGTTCAATCCCCTGAGGCCTGGGTTTTTTATCTGTAAAACTGGGTAATAGTGAAGGCTGTTTATTCATTCATTCAACAAATACTCCATGGACTGTGCATGATATCATGAAACTTGCAGTCTATGATGAATGGGAACAAGTATAAAGTCTTCAAATGTGTAAAAAACACATGTGTAAAATGTGTAAAAGTGCTAAAAAAAAAACCCCATAATGTAGATGTGTGTGGCACCTGTTTTGGGTCAGGTGGTTAGGGAGGGCCTCTGAGGTAATACCTAAATTTAAATGCTATTCAGCAACCAGGGGGTGGGCCAAGGGAGAGCTATAGGTGAGGCCTGTAAACAGGAAGAAATCAGGTCATGCAGGGCTCAGAAGGCATGGGAAGTGTGGATCTGGTCAAATTAGGGGTCAGCAAACTCGGCTCCACTTACTGCCTATTTCTGCAGAGACCATGAGCTGAGAATAGTTTTTCCATTTTTAAGTGGTTGGGAGGGAAAAGTCATCAGATTAACGTTAAGTGAAATTCAGATTTCGGCATTCAGTGAAGTTCTGGATTTCATCAGGACAAAAAAAAAAAAAAAAGTGTGGGTATGTGTTTTCTCTCTCGTTGGATAAGTATCTACTTGATTTGACATCCTTGGTTTTGCCTCTTGGCCTGCAAAGCTGAGAACATTTGCTACCCAGCACTTTACAGGGAGAGTTTGCCGACCTACTGTGACAGCCAGGGCAGGGACGGAAGGTTTAAGGCAGAGGTGGCCTCACTGTTCAGGGTGTAAAGACCCCTCTGGTGCTGTGTGGAGAGCAACAGAGGGGGAAGAGGGAGGCAGGAGACCTGTGAAGAGGTGACAGTCTGGACTAGGCTGAGGATGGCAGGGCAGCAGAGTGAAGGCAGCAGGAGCAGCGCATGTTTTGAGGAAGATCTAGTTTCTGAAAATGTCCAGCCCTGTGACCACCACCCTGCCATGCGCCTCACCTGGCTCCTCAGGTTCCATTGCCTGCTACTCTGCTCCGTCGCTGGGCTGCTTGACCTCAGCAGTTACAGGACAGGGGCATGTGGTCTTAGTCCCAGACAAAGAGCCCAGGTTGTGGGAGGGAGCCACCGCCTCCTCCCATCTACTCCCACACGGCAATCAGGCTTCTGGCACTCACTTAGGGGCTCAGGGCTGGAATTCTGGAAAATGAAGCACTGCTGGGTGAGCAAAGGCAACAGGGAGTGGGTGTGGCCATACACGTGGGCTTCCCTGGGACAGACCCAACTGCTTCCTTCCCCCAAATGGAAAACACATGTCTACACAAAAACCTGTAAGTGAATGTTCACAGCAGCATTATTTGGGTAAACAAACTGGTAAATATAATGGAGTATTACTCAGCTATAAAAATGAATGAAGTACTGACACATAGCACAACATGGATGGACTTTAAAAACATGCTCAGTGAAAAAAGCCAGACACAACAAACCCACACATTGTATGGTCCCATTTAATTTATATCGCATGTCCGAAACAGAGAAAGATTAATTAAGAGAGAATTAACAGAAAGATTAATGGTTGCCAGAGGCTGCGGAAAAGGGGAATGGGGAGTGATAGCTAAGGGGTATGGGCCATAAGCACGCATCTGAGTTCACACCTGCAGACACAAAGGAGGTGTCACACACACAAAACACCCCTTCCCCACACAGACATGCACGGTGACACACCTGACCACTCGCACACACCTGAAGTCTCATCTGCACACACAAATGGTGTTACACATGGGGCGCCTGGGTGGCTCAGTCGGTTGAGCATCCGACTTCGGCTTAGGTCATGATCTTACAGTTCGTGAGTTCAAGCCCCGCGTCAGGCTCTGTGCTGACAGCTCGGAGCCTGGAGCCTACTTCGGATTCTGTGTCTCCCTCTCTCTGCTCCTTCCCCGCTCATGCTCTGTGTCTGTCTCCCAAAAATGAATAAACATTAAAATTTAATAAAAAAAAAAAACACAAATGGTGTCACACATGCAATACACTCTTCTCTGACATGCACCAGCAGTAACATGCCCAGTCAAATGCACATACCTGAGGTCACACTGCAGACACAGGCAAGGGCTGTGCTGGGGTCCTCACACACAGGAGGTCTCATCTGCCCACACAGGTGGTGCTTCGCATGCAATACACCCTTCACTTCTGAAACGCACAGGTGGTGACACACTCAGCCACGTGCACACACCTGAGGACACACCTACACAGACAAGTGACGCACTGGGTCCCCACCCCCCCGCGCCCCCGACATCTCATATACACACTCAGGTGGTACCTCACATGCAAGACAGCCCTCCTCTGACACGCACACGTGCAGTGTCACACTCGGCCACACACAGCTGAGGTCTCATGGGCACGCAGAGGTCTCTTCCTCATACCCCGCGGCACGCGCACACGGTCCCTCCTCTCTCCCCTCCCCCACGACCTCCCGCGACCCATCGCCGGGTCCGCGCTCCCCTCTGAGCCCCACCCGGCCACTAGTCACTCCCGCTGCGTACACGCGGGCCTCGTCGTCCCTCACACTCACGACAGCCACCACGCCGGGACCGCGGACTCACCTCGGCCGCGGGCCCCCGTCACAGGCGGGCAGCGCCGCCAGCCGCCAGCCTCCGCACACGCCCAAGGCACTTCCGGCTCTCACTTCCGCCGACGGCCCGCGCTCGGCTCGGGACCGGACCTCGGCGGGGGCCCTGCCCGCTGCATACCAGGAGCCGGCACAGGTGACTCGCCTTGTGGGAAATGGAGTCCAGAGGGCGACGAGCGACGAAGGGAGCGTGGGAACGTGTTGATGAGCCGCTGTCGCGGGGGACCAGACGGATATGAACACGCATGGATCTATGTAAGTTCTTGCAGATATGCAGCGGACTTTTTTCTTTCTCTTCGCACACTCACGTACGCCCACACTCGTCTAACTATAGTTTGGGGTATTCCCACCGCCCCCCCCAACCCCTGAGCCCTGTGCATCCTGTAAAGCTTCAGCAAATGCCCTCCAAGAACCAGTAATTCTTCCAATTACTCAAGAAACCACACCATTACCTTCTATATAGTCATATGCTCATTCCTCCCAATTACGTCCTTTTTGTTTTCATTTTTTAGTGAAGCCCGCATAAAAAACCATGCACAGCACTCTGCTGTGCCTGGTGGAGTCGACTCCTGATGTGCAGGCTAACCTTCTCTACCCTTCCTTCCCACTAGTCAGTTGATCACAAGGGGAGATTAAAGAAATCAGCCACTTATCTTAGACTAGAATTGTGCAAGAGCTTTCTAGAGTTGAGGGAGATGTTCTATTTGTAGCTACTGAGCAGTTGGAATGTGGCTAATGTGATTGAAGAACTCAATATTTACTAATTTGGGGTGAATTTAAAATTACATCTAAACAGCTATTCCTAGCTAGTGATTACGATGGACAACTTGGTACATCTAGATGTTCACCTTGGATCTCCTTACAAGGAGACCTATAGGAGACTGTTCTTTAGACGATGCAGATTTCTTACCAGTTACCTTTTGCACAAATGACTTGAATCTCTCTGAGGATGTACAAGGAGATATTGAAAATGGGGAACTTGGCTGTTGGCCACAATTTACGTGTGGGCATAATTTGGGCTGATACAGGGAATTTAATAAAATAACTTAGAAATATATGTGCTAAAATAGCTTGCAGGAAAATGCGTGAAGTCAAAGCTGTTTTATACTTAACTGGTTCCATTAACTCAAGGTTCATGCATGGGTGCCTATAGAAGAACAGGTGTGGCTAAGAATTTAGTGTGTGTGTGTGTGTGTGTGTGTGTGTGTGTGTGTGTGTGTATGACAGAAAACAATGAAACCAATTATCAAACTTACTTTAACTTGAAAGAGTTCAGATTTTTAATTTAAATTTATTTTTTGAACTGGTAATACTTTCACATATTTCAAAATTCCAAAAATACCAAAAGATATAAAGTGAAAATCACTCCTCATCCCTTTCCCCCTACTTCTCCTCCCCAAGAGCAACTAGTATGCTTGGTTACTTTATACCCTTAGGAGATATCGTGTATGTGTGTGTATGTGTATGTAAGCAAAGGATTTTTTACACAAATGGAAACATACTTTACATACTGTTTTACACCTTTTCATTTAACAATGTATCTTGGGAGCTCTTTCCCATATTAGTACATAAAGACAGTCCCCATTTTTAAGACTGTGTCATGCTCCATTCCAGCAATCACTAACCCAGTTCCCCAGGGTGGACACTGAGGTTGTTTACAAATTTTACTTCTGAAATCAATACCATAGTGAAACCATGTACAGTCTACAATGTACAAATACATCTCCCAGCAACAGGTTTACTGAGACAAAGAGTTTGCGTATTTATAATTTTAATTTTTTTTTCTTTTTTTAAATTTATTTTTGGGACAGAGAGAGACAGAGCATGAACGGGGGAGGGGCAGAGAGAGAGGGAGACACAGAATCAGAAACAGGCTCCAGGCTCTGAGCCATCAGCTCAGAGCCCGACGCGGGGCTCGAACTCACGGACCGTGAGATCGTGACCTGGCTGAAGTCGGACGCTTAACCGACTGCGCCACCCAGGCGCCCCTATAATTTTAATTTTTATTAAAAAAATTTTTTTTAATGCTTTATTTTTGAGAGAGAGACCGAGTATTAGTGGGGGAGGGGCAGAGAGAGAGGGAGACACATTATCTGAGAAGCGGGATCCTGGCTCTGAGTTGTCAGCACAGAGCCTGACATGGGGTTTGAACTTGTGAACCACGAGATCATGACCTAAGCCGAAGTCTGAAGCTTATCAGACTGAGCCACCCAGGCACCCTGTGTGTGTCTGTAATTTTAGATAGCAACTGATAAGCTGCCCTTCACAGAGGCTGTATCACTTTTTACTCTCCCTGGAAACATGTAGAAAAGACTCCCCCACTTTTGGATAAAAGTCAAGGCTGGTAAAATGCTAGGTGGTCATGCTCCTACAACCCTCCTGAAAGGTAATTTAAAAAGCTACATGAGATTCATGGCCAGAGGAAAATGCTCAAAAAAAGCCCCAAAACAGTTAAGAAGCATGTGTTACTAGAAAGGATTCCAATTTTCTAAACACGACACAACTAGAAATATATTTTTTGTGAGTATAAGATCTATATACCCACATGTACACTCTATGTATACATTTATATTGTTATGAAAAAATTACAAGGGAAATTAACAAAATCTTAATGGTAATGACCATCTCTGGATAGTGGAAGTATGAGGAATTAAATTTTACTTTTGTGCATCTTCCATGTTTTACAGTAAAGAATTTGCATTACTTTTATAAACTGATAAAGCCGTAGTTTATAGTAACTTCCTCTGAGGAGTTTATCTGACTGTTTCAAAACATCTGTAAGGAAATCAGTGGGAACATTATGCCTAGAAAACACGACCCGAAATGAGAAATGAAACATTTGTAATCATCTCTGCTGCCTGGAAGGGAGGCGAGTGACAAGCTTGTTCCCAGCTTACCCACTGAGGCCACTGTAACTTCAGCCCACCCAGCAACCATTCTGAGACCCTTTAGGAGCTGCCATTTTGTGGGCCAAGGTGGAGGGAAAGGGACAATTGTAGGCCTGGCTTCCACAGCTGCCTAGAACCATGAAGTTACCACTGGAGCTCCCCTCCACATAGGGCACTGATAGGTAGAACATTCCCAAAGCTGCACCCCACACCATTGATGGGGAAGGGAAGAGGAATGGTCAAAAGTGGGGCTTATCTATGTTTTATGATGTCCATGATAAAATGCTAAAATTAAAAAAACTTTTTTTTAATGTTTATTTATTTTTGACAGAGAGTGAGAGAGACAGAGCACAAGCGGGGGAGGGGCAGAGAGAGCGAGAGAGAGACACAGAATCCAAAGCAGGCTCCAGGCTCTGAGCTGTCAGCACAGAGCCCAACACAGGGCTCGAACTCACAGACAGCGAGATGATGACCTGAGCCAAAGTCGGACACTCAACCGACTGAACCACCCAGGCGCCCCTACAATGCTAAAATTTAGATTACTCAGAAAAATAAGTAGATTCTTTTTCTTTTTTCACACCAATTAGGAATGCTGCAAAATGGTCAAAAAGACTACTATAAGACACATTGGGTATAAAGTTTTTTTTTTATGTTTATTTATTTCTGAGATAGAGCATGAGTGGGGGAGGGGCAGAGAGAGAGGGAGACACGGAATCAGAAGTAGGCTCCAGGCTCTGAGCTGTCAGCACAGTGCCCGATGCGGGGCTCGAACTCACAAACCGTGAGATCATGACCTGAGCCGAAGTCAGTCGCTCAACCGACTGAGCCACCCAGGCACCCCTAGACACATTGGGTATAAATCAGTTAATGATATCATTTGTTAAAATCAAAGGTATAGGACTGTTAGTGCAGCCCTGATCAATTTAGACTCTGGAAAAGTTGGCTGTAGTTCTGGGCATGGTTTCCTTACTTTGGCATATTTGGGGCTAGGTAATTCTTTGTTGAGGGACAGTCTTGGGTATTAGAGGGTGTTCAGCAGCATCCACTAGTTGCCAAGTGGCACCCCTCTGTTCTGCCAGTTATGACAACCAAAAATGTCTCCAGACATCACTAGATGTCTCCTGGAGGACAAATCCACCCCTGATGGAAAACCTGTGGCTTAAGCAACGCTGGCAATTTCAAGGCAACGGCTTTCAAAAGGATCTGTGACATGCCCAGGGAATGTAGCAGAATTTCACGGGGGCCTCTTTGTCTTTTGCTCTGGGCATGGGTGCAGCTGACATGTGGGTGGGGGCCAAGTGTGCTCTTGTGAAGTGCAGAGCTGGCTCCTGTGGACCATGTACAAATCTGTGAAACAAGTCTGTCATGTGTGAACTGAGATCCTAAGTCAACTTCACATAGAAACACAAATTAACCCTACACGCTTAGAATTTTATACAGAATTTTCCAGAAATGCAATGGTATTTTGTTTTGTCCAAAACTTTTGCAAGAGTTAGTCACCACTTAGGAAAAATCACATCCCATACAGGAATGCCACTCTGACTATTTCCATGACCAATACCATATCCCATATGCCAGACGGCACTGGCGATGCCCCAGGTAGGTGTTCAGGCACAATGGCCCACACAGTCACGTGGAGAGATACCGCACCAACTCAGTCCACATCACTCTACCATAAATTACTTTTGTTTTAATTATGCTTTACAAAAAGGGGCCGTATATCGATTTTTTTACAGTACATATGTGTGGGTTACATTACCTATGAATTCATTTTGCAGTAATAGAGGGAACAGCACAAAACACGTGTGGTTAAAGGGGGCACTGGGCTTGGCAGATTTGAGAACCATCAATCTCCAGTATTTGGGAAGCACCACTTCTTAAGAATCAGAGGTCGCTCTAGACGTTTCTACCCCCAGTCCCCCTTTCTGTGAATGCACTATGTGGACTTACCACATTTTTGTACCTGTGGTTCAAAAGTCATCTGTAGAGTTTCTCTCCTACGAGGATTCTCTGATGTCAAATAACACAGAAGCACCCATGGAAGACTCTTCAACCCCAATGACGTGAACCGGGTTTTTTTCTTGCATGATTTCATGGATGTCAAACAAGGCAAGCGCTCGGCTCGAGGGTTGTCCTGCCTTTGTCCCACCACCAGGGTTCTCGCTGGAGTGTGTGTGCTGATGCCGGGCAAGGTGTGAGCCCCGGGCAAAGGACTGCTCAAGCCGTTGCCGGTTCCGGCCCTGGGACTCCTCTCTGGTGTGAGTTATCTGGTGTCGGATGAGGTGCGAGCTCTGAATAAAACATTT